CCTGGATCATCATCCTTTGGTCCTGGAACATTTCTATCAACCAGTCAGAAGGAAAAGGGTTTAGACCTAGGTCCTAGAACAACAAAGAATGATGCAGGAACATGTTTTACAACACTCCAAATAGGGCTGCACGATAAATCGCATGCGATATTTAATGCGCATCTTGTCAGTAAAGCCGGTTCTTTAATCAGCGGTAAATCTCCATCACCTGCGGGCTTTCACATGAAGCAGCATTAACTACACAGAGCCGTTGTTCACCGACAAGCTGCGCAAAACCACGATCATATTTGATCATAGCTTGTCGGTGAACAACGGCTCTGTGTAGTTAATGCTGCTCCATGTGAAAGCCCGCAGGTGATGGAGATTTACAGCTGATTACAGAATGGCTTTACTGACAAGATGCGCGTTAAATATCGCATGCGATTTATCGTGCAGCCCTAACTCCAAAGCAACACTGCATTCAAGATATATTTGTACATCAATAAGTATCGAACCCATAATCTTGTTATTGCTAGCACAATCCTGTACTGTTACAGCAGTGTTTCTCAACCCTGGTCCTGGGCACCCCCCAACACTGCACATTTTGTATGTCTCCCTTATCTGACACACCCATTTCAGGTCCTGGAGTTTCTTTTAATGAGCTAATGAGTTGAATCAGGTGTGTTTGATTAGGGAGACACACAAAATGTGCAGTGCTGGGGGGCGCCCAGGACCAGGGTTGAGAAACACTGTGTTACAGGAACACTGCCTCACTTGGGTAAGTCATGTTGTGCATGTATGAATGAATGTATGATTCTTGCTTGAGTGCATGACATGTGTGGTCAAATCCCAAACAAGCCCCCAAATTGTGTTAGAACTGTAGAGAAACACTTTACAGGCCATCACCTGGGTACTTATGTCAGGGGTGTCCTGGAGGGCCAACCATCTGCAGAGTTTAACTCCAACTCAATTAAACACATCTGAACCAGCTAATCTAGGTCTTTAGGATTATTAGAAACTTCCAGACAGGTGCTGAACTCTGCAGGATGTTGGCCCTCCAGGAACAGGACTGGACACAACTGGCTCATGTTGAGATGTGCACTTATATCCAGAGCAGTTGTCACTGATACAATACAAGAAGCAAAGACAGTCTGTCTGCTTGACGTTGAGCCAAAGAGACAGCGGGCCAACCTCCCACCACGAAACAGTCTGAGCGGCTGATGGCTATTGTACACTACGGTTACACACATTGTTGCTCCATTAAGCTGAGGTTTTAATGACTGCTGAAGTGATGCATGTGTCTCACTAAGAGAAAAAAAAGTGTAAATGAATTGGGAGGGAAGGGAAAGCAAGCATATAGGTCCTGTCAAGTTTAGAGTTAGAGTTTGAGATAATGCTTGATCTGTGAGAAAGAATTATTTATGGACATTGACTTTTATAAGTTGTGCTTGGCAGGCAAAATACGCTCCTTCTGCCAAAGCTAAATATCAATCCATCAGAAATTTGTTTCTTGAGGGGGACAGAGAAGCATTCCAGAGCAGCATGTTCATGTTCATCCGACTAGTATTATCTTAAATTAACCTTCAATGTCATGAGCAAGAATAAGTGTCTATTCATCAATGCAATGTTTAAAACAAACAAAAAAAACTTTTCATATAATTTGGGTTATTCTTTCGGAAAGCATGTATAGTGTGACCGTTTGCCATTTGTTTTCCTATTTAGTCCATTGTGCCAAAAGTAAGTCTAGAAAACACTCTGTGGAGAAATTATATGGCACATAAGAGTGTAAGAGTAATTAAGAGAAAGTAAGAGTGGTAGAAGCCCTTGTGGCATTGCTGATTTTTCTTTGTAAAGTTCTTCGTCTGGGAATGAAAAGAACTGTGGTGTGTCTCTTTTCTCCAGCAGTGCTGAGCTGCTATGTCAGTGGAAAGTTTGCAGTCCATCACATATAACAGGAAATCCTGTAACCCCAGAGGAAGTGGTTAGAACTCGTTGTCAGGTCTTCTAATGGCGTTAGGAAGACAGAACAAAAGGCAAATGGCAATGCAACTGGCCTACACTGCACAAGCTGAAGCTGCAATACCCAAGACTGTTATTTGTGTGTCTCAGGTAGACAGTTAGGCCAGGTAACTTTAGTACATCAAATCAATGGAGCCTCAGCAAAAACATCAGCATTAATGCTGAGGGTAACATCAGCATTAGTGCTGAGCTGAGTCAAAAAAAAACAAAAAAAAACCTTTTGACAAGTCATAGTCAAGTCTTAAATCCAAGACACAAAAAAAAACTCTTAATAAAGTATGTGAACAAAACAATTTTAGCTATGCAAGGTCAACAAGTTAACCTGTCGACATGTTTACAGCTAGATACTAGATAAAAACATCTGGTCTAATGGCACTGACAACTGAAATAATTTTTACCACTCCATTAATGTAATGTAAGAACCAATAGTATGTACAACTGCACAACTTGCTTTCAATGCTTTGGCCAAGGATTTGCACCTGCATTTGTATACTTTTGTCCAGTATGTTTCTGGGGTTACAGAATTCTTCAATCAATGGTTACAGAGTTCAAGCCAACCCAACACTACGACCTGAGTGAACAAAGCTTTTGGTTTCCATTGAGTTGTGATTATTTGCAAGCTAGAATATGGTGAGGTGTTAACCTCAAACAATTTTCAATGATATCATAGAATGAGCATTCTTTTTTTTTCCGAAAATACTGCACATTTACATTTTTCTCCTAAATAAATTCTGGTAAATAACATTTCTGGTAAATACTCCTTTAAAAAGTGTTTTTTGATTATAATTTTATTAGTAGTAGACTAGAACACGTGGATATGTTGTCATTCAATTTCTTACACTATAATACTGAACTTTGATTTCAGTGATTAGGACTATGAGATGGACACTTGCTTCTTGCACTCTATGTTGCACTTTACTTTTGCTTTAAAAAAAGGATTTCATAGAAATTTGGATTTCATTTGGTTTAATAAAATATTCTTAAGTAAAATTGTTGATTTGTTTTGTGGGAAATTAATCGTTTAGATTAATCGATAAATTAGTCGATAGATTAATCGAAATAAAAATAGTCGTTAGTGTCAGCCCTATTTATAATAGTATTTTTGTCATGGATTATTATATATTTTTTCAATTGTTATGTTTCATTAAAATGAAGTTGTCTATATTTAGTAGATTGTGTTTAACACACAAAAGAGTGACGATCAGATTAACACACAGAAGTATAGAAATTCTACACTGATTTAAAAAAAAAAAAAATCTGCGCTGGTATCGGATCGGAATTGGCCGATACTCAGAATTTTCTGGATCGGATCTGAAAAAATGGTATCGTTGCATCCCAACCATTTATCACACCCTGCAGCAAAAGCACAAAAAGCTAAATCTCTGGAGTCGTCACTCATCTCTAAGTCAGGACACAGATAACTGCAATGTAGTCACATCTCAAATATTCTAATGTTTGCTGATGAATTCAAATATCAAAACTGCAACCTAGGTTCGTCATGCCTGGAGCATGAGCTGGGACTCCACATGTCTGGTAAGAAATATGGGCTGGTTTCTGACGAGACGTGACAACATGAGTTGAAAGTTTTGAAAACAAAATATTCTCAAGGCATATCTGAGATTAAATAAGTGCATTGCTTGAATACACAATTGAACATTCTCATAATTCAATATTGTAAGTGATGAAACAATCAAATTTTATAACTGCACATAAAAGTAAAAACCTGGTTAAAATCAAGAAGCAGGTTCTGTTCATTTAAAGGCATTGATTAACTAACTATTGAAGAGGCACAGAAACAATTTCATAGTAAAAATATTCACACTGAGAAAATGAAAGAGTTGATCTTCTGCATCTTGTTTAGACAGTACAAAGCTGCATAACTAACCTCTGTGACAAACACCTACATTAATGAAACACTTGAACAGTTTCTTACAATGCAGCACTTTGAAAAGCGTGAGGCAGAACCATCTAATATCCATTCGCAGCCTAGCAAAATGATGATAATGCTAATTAATGACATTAGAAAGGGTTAGCAAATTTCAGTTTTATTAAACTCTGGCTTGGTGTTTAATCATGTACAGTAATAATGTGGTCTGCTGCCAGACTCCATGGAGATGTTTGTGGTCAAGCGCTTTGTTCACTCAGTAGGTGTTACCATTGGATTTAAGCTTGCTGCAGCCTCTGTAATGTGGTTAGCGTTCTGCAACATTCTGTAATGGGAATTAGTTTTATTCCTGAGATCTGAAAGCAGAACTCAAAATGGATAATAAAAGTTTTGTGGGTTATTAAGATTTACGATTAGAGTTTGACTAGCTCTTTCATTATTATGAGGCTTATATGTGCTATGGAAACAAGCTTGTACAGTACACATGTATGAATGCAGAAGGGGTTTGTGGGATACATTCTGGGACATGTTCCAATAAAATTAACTGCTTTTGGTCTTGTTTCATTTGTAAACAGCGTTCTTGAACACAGTTCTCTGGAAGAAGTCCTTATAAAATTGATGGAAAGCACAGACAAGAAGTTCAGTATGCAGGGTTCTGGTGGATGAAGAGATTAAGGCCAAAGAGATGGCAATGTGGTGTAACCCACCAAAGTTAGATTCTTAAGAGATGGGCCACTTTGCAATGTCTAATAGTTGCCTGTGGTAACACAGGCTCAGAGGGTCTGGAAGTCTGATGGTACAGATGTGTCCTGCTTTCCGGATGGGGACTGAGAGTGAATATAAGCACAAGCCCTTATCTATCTTTCCTCAGATATTTCTCCATTCACTAAGAAGCCTTGCACATCCCCATGAACTGAAGCTGAACTAAACATCAGCTGAACATGAAATGGAGCATCACATCCAAGAAAAACCCAACCCTGTTGCAAGTTTCAACGATCCTACATTTCCAAAGGCCTGCACATTGGCAGTAATCTCTGTTTGGATAACCTAAACATTGCATGTCCTAAAAATACAATAACAGAACTCACACAGTGAGAACATAAAACTGAATACTTGCCTTCGTCCATATGATTCCCAAGTATGTCTTTCTTCTTTCCTTGAAATATGTGGACCTCTGGAATGATAGAGAATGCAAAGAGAGAGAGAAGGTTTGGTTAGTCTTGTAAAATACAATGAAGACACTTTAGATTTTGTTTTCCAAATGTAAAGCTGCTTTTCCGTTTTATTTTATAAGTGAGTGTTTGGTTTTTCCACAAAGAATAAAGAGAGGTGAAAATCAGGTCTCACAGCTAGTCAGTTTGTTCATTGCGTAACCAAAAAAAAAAGTGTTTCCATGCTGTTTAAGTGTCACTAAGCTCCCACACTAACTAAACAACAACTACTTAAGTGTTGCAAATCCTTCTTAAACATTGTTCTTAGACAAGAATGACTTTCTAAACAACATAACACAACTTTTGTTTTGTTTTTTTTCTATAGCAACTGTATAATAAATTATAACAGAAGAGTCAATGAAACTGGGAACAATACAGGTACAAAACAAGTAGAACAGATATTTCTTCATACCATGATGTAGAGATATTTATATGGACACACCCCTCCAACCGACCTCCTTTCAGTGGCCCTATGAATACAGCTTTATACAATTTTTAGCCTTCCTAACGTGAAGCCTGTTAAAGCTGATACTCATGGTGGGCAGGACTAATGCACAGCACAACAGCGTCTGGGCTTCACATTGATTTCTCTGCATTAGGCCACACTTCAATATTTCATCAGAAGCCATTCAAAATGGAAGGTCGATCAATATGCATTAAAGTATCTGGTGAAATTATTCAGCAGTTTAAGAGATATAGAAGTCTAAATCTGGAAGATGGTCAATATCATGGATCAGCATGACCAAAAGCCAACGGGGACTTAAAAGCTGAAAACTCAATTTTGTGTTGATATCAACAATCGTAATTGACTCTGCTGCTAGTATGAGAACCTCATGATTAAGTTATGAATCCATTCATGAGTCATACAGTGACCTGTCACGATGTACCAAATCTCGGGATCAATTCTATGTCATACAAAAAACGAATGCAGCCATTTAGCCACCAGCAAAAAGCCTTGGCTTGAGGAAAAAAAAACAAATGTAGGATAAGATAAAGGCATAGAAATGTACTGTGGGTAGTTGACAAATGGACATGGATTTTTTTTCCTATTTTTTCTATTCTATTTTTTGAAGGCGATTATTTTAAGGGAAAATGTATGATTTCAGATGTGGTAACTAGTCACTAGTTTTAAGTAGGGCTGCTCGATTATGACAAAAATCATAATCATGATTATTTTGGTCAATATTGTAATCACGGTTTTTTAACAATTATTAGTGGGCCATATAACCAAAACATTTTTTAATGCAAGTCTAAAGTATTCAGTTAACAGCCTATAGAAATTGAATAATCAAATGTAAAATAAAACAGCATAGTCTTCACTGTAAGAATTAAACTTCCTTTGTTTCTTATTTAAGCTACAAAAGACCTTCTGTGAAGAGCAGCAAGTGATTTTGTCCTTGTCTTTTGTTGTTTGATTAATATGAAGCACAAAGTCGGCAGCAGGAATATAGCCCGATGTCACTTTAAAAGCCGCACAGATCCAATTTACTGTTACACACATATTTTCATTCTCATCTGTTTACATTCATTTATTACATAACCGACGAGGGTTTACGTGAATAATCACTAAGCGCCGCATTGACACATTTTTGCATGTATTTGACTGTTTAGGCGCATACGTTCAGTTAAAAGATGACTTCACATGTCCGTGTTCTGTTCAGTCTCTGAGCGCAATCCTCCTGAGGAACAGCGCAAGTTCTCTTTCGCGCTTTTAAAAACATTAATAAATCTAAATCAACTTTAATAACTCAAGCACCTCCCATTTTGCAAAAGTCACGCTACATGATTTTACTGATTTACACATGAAAATGGGCTTTTATGGAGGAGTGAAAGCGCACTGCTGGAAAGGGGGCGGAATGGGGCGCAATAAGTGTTTTATCTCGATTATTATATTTTCATAATCGTTGGAGGCCGAAATCGAAATCGAAACTGAATTTCGATTAATTGCACAGCCCTAGTTTTAAGCAACATTTTTATTAGTCATGTATCTGACCTCAAAAAACGCATACAATGCACAATGCATTGTGCACAATGCACAATGCATTGTAGACATTTTATTTGAGGTAACTATGGCGACTTTAAAAATGACAAATTTATTTTTCTATAAAGAACATTTACACAAGGTGTCTTTTTTGGGAAAATCTTGTTTACAAAAAACAAATACATTTCTTTAATGAAAATTTGTGACTTAGTTCATGAAGAAGGCTACATTTTTAATTAACCTCAAAATTGCATTATTAAATTGATAAAGTGCAGATTATTCTTTATTATTTCCAGATGTTTAAAAATAATATATGTATTTATCAAGAGAATGAAAATGTGTTTTCATCAACCCATATACAAGACAGAAATACATGATACTCCAGTCTGTGAGTCAGATTTGCCTTAGCAGATAGACGAGTCACAGCTTGCCCTCACTGTACCGTCCCACTTTAATGTTCAACCCCCCACGGCAACTCAAAACCTATACGTGCATCCTAGTTTACACTATTACACTACTAAACTAATGGAGTGAACATAAAAGCACAGCTGAGTACAAAACACTGGTACAATGCACAAAGCAGATCTGATGACAGCTTCATTAAAGCCACGCTTCCATGCCATAGACTCAAGCTTTCCACAAACACAAACATACACAAAGAAAATAAAATCAAGGATGGGAGGGAAATCGGCATTTTAAAACAAACAGAGAAAAGAAAATAACAAGTGTTGTCTCTCAAAATAGACAACTTTCCCTTCTGTCCACAGTAGAAAGCACAGGAATGTTAGAAGAGGCCCAAAGGACAGCAACTGTGTGAATGGATTGGTTTTCTTATTTATACATAAAAAGGGTATGCTACATATGACTGTTTTTAATGTATTGATTGACTTCTGGTTTATGTCACATGTGAAAACTTTTCAGTGTTATATTGTCCATTCAATGAAAGCGTTTTGTTCAATGTTGTTTTGGACTCATGACTTTCATGGTATGAAGCCAACAAACAGTTAAAACTTTCTTTAAAATTTATTTTTGCATTCCACAGAAGAAAGTCATTCAGGTATGGAATGACATGATGGTTAGTAAATGAGAACAGAGCTTTCATTTTAGGGCAAAGTGAATGAGAGACCAATGAAATGGTCTTCCTCTCAGTTAGTAAAGTTAGTGGTGGTAGTAAACAATGCAAGCATGGTTCTATTACCTTTAGGTTTACTAGCAGTTCTGGCTGCTATGTAAGAGAAGAGCTTGAGCACCCCCTTCCATGAGTACACAGGCTGTAGTCTAATAGTAGCCGACATGGGGAGCAGATTGACTCTTCATCATGCTCTTTCCATAAAAACAAAAGGACCCGTACAAGAGGGTCCCTCCTTTTCCGTTTCACGCTCGTTTACCTACAGTCTTCTAAGAGCAGCTTAAGATATAAACACAGCTCCAACAGGTCGCCTAGGGCCACGCTAAGGTATCCCCACCCCCAACCCCCCAAAGGAGGAAGGGATGAGTTCCAAAACACCTACACCTCGCACAATCTGCGTAATTCCAGCAAGTGTTCCTCAAAGTGGAGAGCAGTAGATTTGTGTTTTAAAAGACTTCTCCAGTAAAGAACAGCCCAGGACGAGCACAAAGGAAGTCTGTAGAGCAGAAAGTGTGAAAAAAAGAAAAGAATTTGCTGTAGTCTAGGAATGTTACACAAGTAGATCCAGATTCCAGTGCCTGAAGGAGATTTCAGCAGCAATCTCCAGAAAGAGGCAAAAAGACTAAAAACAAGGAGTCAAATTGTCAGGCATTTCCCCCTTTATATGCACATTCCAAGACTTGTTTGAGAAAGACCACTTCCAGGACTTTCAGAGTGCCCCGTCAGCTCTCCAAGTGAAGAAAATGGAGAGGGAAGAAGCACACTGTTTCACAGAGGAGCAAACTCTCAGAACGACCGCAGAAGGAAGGAGAGAGTCCCGCCTGCACAGTCACCACTGTTGCCTGTGGATTGAGGAGTCAAATGTCAGTCTGAAGTCAGCATGCTCGTTCTCTCTGGTTCTCTCTCTCTCTCTCTGAGGAGGAGGAGGAGGAGTGGGACCGGTTCATGGGCCCAGCCGTGTCAGATTACACAGCTCCTCCTCTTGCCGCTGACTCTGCCTCCATTCATGTCTCCCAGACAAAGAGATTTTACAGCATGGCACCTCTACAACAGCCGGCAACTTAAACAAAACACTCAACGATCACACACGCTGCTCATAAACAGCACTAACAAAACCACAAATACTGAGCAGTGCAGCTTTACAGGCACTTTAATGCCTTTGTAAGTAGAGAGAGAGAATGTGGTACATTACAACAAATTCAATACCGCCAATCTTAACTGCTATAAAGAAGCTCAGAGCCACATCATACACCACTAAGTATCGCCTCTCACCACTACCCAAAATACCCCAGCGCACGCCCAACATGCCTGGAATAAGGCTGATAAAAACAATCTGACCTTTCTGCTCTTTAAACTGACATTAAGGCCTGGACAACAACCCCCAGTGTGACACTACAGGGCTCTGACCGTCTCGTGTGACCTTTGGTCCCTCGCCTCTGTCAAAACATGCCCTGTAGATTTAGCTAGTGATAACATGGCAACCAAAACATTAAATTCCACAAAGCTGTGCTCATGAGACGTCGTTTTAAAATCCTTGCAATTACAGTCACAACAAATGGTGTTCATCTTTAGGTTCTTCAGACAGCCTTTTCCTATTTATGTAAAAACATCTGTTAATCATAGAGCTGTTAAATACAATGATGGACCTACAAAAGAAATTGAATGCCTTTGAAAATTATCAAAGACCATTTGCCAAGTCTTTTGTTCCAGTGTTGCAACATTATCATTTGAAAGGGCAGATGTGAAGGTTCACGCATGTGAAATGGGTTTTGCTTAGTCCTGCCTCACATACAGTGCGACTGAAACACCTGCAGGCATCCTGTTCTGTGTTAAAGGTGCTTATTGTAATTTCT